GGTGATAAGTGTCGAAGGAGCGTTATCAAGGAGGTCTTTGGAGCCTCAAGGACTACAGAGAAAAGCTACTTTCCAGTGATTCAGAATCCATCTACTGCGGCCTTTCACGTACGATAATCACACAGATTGTGAAAAAATGTAATGTGGAGATGAACTTCAGTGCTTTTTTTTACGAAGGTATGGTTTGCCTTTAGAATTGCCATACATGTTTGAAAGATAGTTTGTGATGCCCTTGGGAGAAGCAAAGAAACAGTTGAAGATGAACATGTTACTGCAAAAATAAATGAGAGGAGGGGAGGAAAGGACGGGTTTTCTGCGGGCTCTCCAAATAAACTGACCCAAGCTGACATTGACTGCACCCATCGCCTTGGACCGGGTACCAAGCCAGCTGATGGTGACAAGCCAGATCGGTCTATCATTGTAAAGTTTACATCATATCGTACCAGAGCCCTTTTCATTGGAGCGAGGATGAAGCTCAAGGGCTCTTGTAGCGGCATGAAACTTGTATAGCGCCATCGGTGGCGTTAAGAAAATTTGTGCAACAGAAAGCCTAGACAAAGGCATCAGACTTGATGTTTGTTACCACAGAATTCATGACTTTGCTCCACATGAACAAATAGTTGGTAAGCTATGATACATGATTCCTGTAGATAACTGATTTACTGACAAATATAGGAAACTAGTTGTTTGAACTCGTTTCATACGATTGTTTATTTCCTGTGAATTACGTGCAAACTGTGAGCTGATTTTGGATGATTAATGCAACGTTATGTACAGAAGGCTATGTGTTGCTATGTGGGTCATCGCATTGCATTAGCAGGGTTGCATTACAATGTGTGTGCTATTAAGCAGAGGGGGTTGGACCAAGGAGTGAACAGAGTGCATATGATCAAACAGTTATGATTAATGATTCAGTATGCTTCAAGAAGCATTTATATGGTTTATAATATATACATTGTACGATTGATAATATAGTATGCCAAGACTAAAAAAAAAAGAAGCTAGAACAGGTGGTATGTTCTCTTCTCATTTGCATATTTCCACTTCTGCCTTATCAATGGTTCTCTTCTCCTTTTCCTTATGAATATTCTTAAATCCTATTTTGCTATATTTGAATATAATCTGCATGAAGGACATGTACAGCCTGAGATAATAAAACTGAAGCAGAGCTGGACTGGACTTACACTGTGTCAGAGGTGTTATTTTAGAGCTCTGTGGGCATGAGATAGGAGAGACTTTATAGAGGAGAGGACTTGTGAGTTTGGCAGTGATTTGTAAGATTGGTGTTTAATTCAGTAATTGATTGGCAATAGATTATTTTTTTAGTTTACAGTATAATCGCAGTCAATATGTTAATTTATGTAAATTAGGTTGGATAAGGGACCGTGTTGTTGTGTTGTGTGGCACATGTGCTTCGCTACACTTTTGCAAGCACTGGGGCTTAGATGTTCCGCTTGTGCAGCAACGTAATATTTTTCTTCGACTTGTTCGCTGCGGCACATGTGTTAAATTATTCATGGTTCATTGGAGAAAGTGCAAGATGCACAGTGGGGTAATCATTTAGTTTAGTTCATATTTACCAGTTGGGTTACAGTATAAGTAATAAGCTGTGATAAGTTTTGCATGTACCAGTATGGGTATATAGTAATGGAGCAGTTTAATATGTTTACTACATTAATGAATTATAGTGCTGGAAAGGGGGCCCAGGTCCTTTGTAATTCAAACGTTATCATTTAAGAGCGTTCATGAAGTTGTTTGTGGAAAGAATTCATTAATAAGCAACCAGGATGTAACAGCCTTGATGTATGTGATTCAGAATGGATAAGGTTCAGTTTCAGAATGATTCAAGTTATGCTAGTAGAAGAAACAAAATTAATTACTCTGATATTTAAGTTAATGCATCCATTTGAGTTTATTACAGACATGCTCCAAGCAGATTATAATAGATGACATATATTGTTGTTCATTGCTTTAAACATACAAATAGTCTTTGTTCTAACTAGAGCATATTATTTATGACAAAGATTTGTTATCTTTTCTCTTAGTAAACCGCGACAAGACTACGCTACAGATCCAAAGTTGTCATTGTCACGACACTAGTTGGACTGAACATTGAATAAAGATCCGAAGAAAGGAAACTGATCTAGTGCGAGTCATTTGTCATTAGGCTCTGGTATATACGTCAACGAGGACTTGACGGCCAGGAAGCAGAAGCTCTTCCATGCCGTCAGGCACTGTAAGAAAGCTGTCAAGGCCTGGAGTATTGACGGCAGAATATTTGCCGGTCTCACCAACACCAGTCGGTCCATTTTTCTAGCTTTGCCGGTATCAAAAGAAGCCACTTTGCAGCAGGAAGAGAGGAACTCCAAACTGTTAATGAGTTCACAAACGGACTCATTGAAATTGATTAAGAAGATGAAGAGGAAATTTAATATTACAACTTGTTGAGTGATTTACAAAAGATCGATTCCATTGGGAAGTAAAATCATTAATAATTTTCAAAGAAACTCATTGTCGATTTTCAATGACGGTAAAAAGACATTTATTATGCAATTGCAAGGTAACTGATTGAATTGGAAATTGAAGAGTTAAAGTGGAATATCTATATTTAGGCATGAATTAGACAATAATTGAAGTTATCAATAATTCCTGTTCATACAAACATCAATTGCCCACATACAACTCAACAATGGAATGTATTTTTTGTTTACTGGTTTGTTAACTTGACGTGCATCATTTCCCTATATAATGTACTGATTGGTATTTACATGTGTAGTCAGACACTGTACATCAATGATGGTGCTCACTCATAATTGAGTTAATTTCACGACTGGTTTAATTACTCCAAATGTAATCTTTAGTTGATGTTTTGTTGTTGTTGTTGTTGTTGTTGTTTATTTTTTTGGGGGGAGGGGGGCTTGATCCTTTTTTTTTTTACTATGGAGGAAGTAGAAGACGAACCAGCACTGCTGAATGTAACGTTTGACATCCCCCAGCCCATGGTAGAGGAGTCGTTACGAAACCTGGAGGCTCATGTAGACATGGAGAGGGACAACCTTGTTCGCTATCAACTGGAAAACTCTGGGAGTCAGCGTGGGAAGCCCATCCTGGTTGACAGCATGGGCTTCTCGTACGTAAAGCGTAAAGAGTGCAGAGGGAAGGTGTATTGGAGGTGAGTTTATATTTCTTTTTTTATTCTTCCCTGATAAATTTATTAGCAATTACTCACAATTCCCATACGGTAATTTTCCAAAATGATTTTAGAATTAATGCATAAGACATCATTTCCTTGTTTATTTTGAAAGATATTTGTACAGAAAATACCTCTGATGGATTTATTATTATTTTCATTGTCACTATCATCACTTTTTCCAAATTTCAATCAGAAAAAAGTAAATACAAAATTAAAATATCATTTGATTGAAATATTTAAAAAATAGTTTGTTGCAATTGCAATTTGATTTTTGACCACCATTCATACTTGATAGTAGGCTGGACAAATGTCATTATCCATGTGTCATTTTTATTCCCATTTTTCACTAGGTGTTTTGTGAGGGGACGGAGCCTCACCTGTAAGGCAACTGTAATTCAGCGAGGAGAGGAGATGGTGAGGGGCTGCTTGCAACATTGCCATGAAGGTCGCCCAGGGCTTCTCCAAGCCGCGGTGCAAGTGAGGGAGGAGGTGAGGACTACGGCCCTAACCCACGTATACAGACCAGCGGCAGCGATCGTGGAGGAGGTAGGGGTGCGGTCGACAGAAGAGAATGCTGGTCCGTCATCCCTTCCTAGACTAGACCAGCTGGTTCGAACAGCAAATCGAGTGCGACAAGGCATGAGGCCTGATGAGCCGAGAGATCTGCATTTTCAACTACAAGATGATCTGATACCGGAAGGTAGTTTGCTTAAAAAGGATACGGAAACAGCTGGTTCGAAACGCAAATCGAGTGCGACATGGCATGAGGCCTGATGAGCCAAGAGATCTGCAATTTCAACTACAAGATGATCTGATACCGGAAGGTAATTTGCTTATAAAGTAGTGCTGTAGCCGAACCGCCGAACCGAACGGAAGTTCGCCGAACATGGCACTTCCGAACCGAACCGAACCGAACCGAACGCAAAGGCCTGGTTCGGATGTTCGGCAGAAAAATAAAAAAACGTTTTTGCAAGCTAATAAACTTGTCATTTTGTACCTAATTTTCATGTCATGATTGCTCATTTTATATTTACTTTTTTTCCATTTTCCGCCTTTGTGATTTATGCCTATCCAGTGGTGGGCGCGACTTCACTGGCGCCATTTAAATCCCAAATCCTGACCACGCTACGTCGCGATCGCAAGCCATAAACAAGAATACATGTGCGTGATCAAAACAAGTTCAGCTCAAACCCATTCAACAAAAAATTAATATTTTAATTGTAACAATTAATATTGGACAAATTTTACAATATAAATAATGAAATAAATATATATTATAGTATGGTATTTATTTATTTAGGAAAAATAGGGATTTTATATTTTTCCTATTGAAAATAAAAACTTCTAAAAAACAGTTATTGACGAGCCTGGCTGAGTCTCTATTCAAGATGGCAGCTTTCATGACTCTAACATTAGACAACAACCGTCTCGGAAAATCTTTAAAAAATATCATTTATTGACAAATTGAAAACATGATTCTTTTAAAATTGAAAATAAAACACGATTCAAGACGGAAATACGAATGTAAGTAGTATTTTTCTTCACAAATAATTACGTTTAGAGCAGTTTTTCAATGTGAAATTCGTGCTGGTCGGAAGCAGTGTGCAGAAGTCCTCCGTGCTGGTCGGGCCCGGCAGGCCGGCTGGCCCGCCCAGTGCCGACCGCCGTGGCTATAACGCTGCTTGCTATTATATTACCGAACCCCGAACCGAACCAAGTTCGGGTGAAAAATTGCCGAACTCTGCCGAACCGAACCGAACACGAACATAGCGTCTGACTTACAGCACTATTATAAAGGATACGGAAGCTATATGAATGTACTTGTGAGTCAGTGTATTGTAATTAGGTTTCTATGCAGTGTATTATGCTGAAATTTTTCATTTCATTTTCTTACAGCAAATAGGAACATACATTATCATTAGCAGCATCCAAACTAGCAACACTAATTGAAATTGTACAGATTAATGTATAATATAATAAATCTATGTTGCTTTTTCTTTCTAAATTCAAATTTCAGTTCTTCTTGTACATTGAGACTCAGTGGATCAACGGACCATTCCAGTTGGCTCAGTGGTCTGTCTACGGCAAAGCAGTGCGTACTAACCGAATAAACAGCTGCCTGGGTCAGCGCCTTGGAATCTACCGACTAGCTGCAGAGATGCACAAGGAGGCACGGTTTGTCGTCACCCTGCAGGTGCGACTTCTGTCAGAGAGGCGTCTCGTCAGGGTGCAGAGGAAGGCCTACAGAACCAGTCAGGCTCGACTATTCAAGTTGTGGGAGGAATATCCCGTGAAACGCTCAGCCGCTTCACTACTCCGAGGCTGTGAAGCGACAGATCATCAAGACCAGCACAGATCATCAAGATATATCCAGAAGGGATTAATGGAATGGCAAACAAGATGAGACAAAGATTAACAAAGACCCCACAGTCAGTGAGAATAAAAGTCTGTGGTAATGTCCTGGAACTAGTTTGTTGACGCCCCCCCCCCCCAAAGCCACATATAGTGGGGACAGCCGCTGTTGGGAAGATTCAAGCTGTTAAGAATAAGAAGGTCTTTGCCATTTGGTTCGACCCTGATGTGGAAAAACATAGACAAACTGTAATGGCGTGTGAAGTTAGTTGTTGGGTTTGCAATCAGTCGATGCCCATAGGGACCGGTATTGTTCTGATGTTCTTAGTTTGTAGTTTGGTTCGTACACAAATTGCGATGGTGTGTGCTACGAGTTGATGTGGATTCTTCCATGCTTCAGAAGCACCTTAGAGAGAGGCTGAATGACTCTGTTACATGTCGGAAGAAAATAAAGGAAAATCCTCGTTTCTCATTTGGAAACTGTTAGGTTTTGGTTGTTCAGGTACCTACTGTAAGGACACTAACAAGTTTATTTTCTGGGGCAATCAACGGTTTCTTCCCAAAGATTCATCCTATAGAAAGGAAAATGGCTTTAATGAGGCAGGTGAGGAGAACAGACCTTCACCGAAAAAGAAAGAAATGGACAAAACACTCCAAGCTGCTGCAGGCGTTGAAGATGCTGGAGGAAGCCAAAGAGGCTTATTACGGAATAGTCTTTCTGATGATACTAAATTGAGCTCATCAATTAAATTATTTAAAAAAAGATTGAAGTCAATTCAGAATAATACTTTGTTGAACGTGATGCATTTTAAAGACAATGTACATGTACTGGAATAGGGTAGGGGCCTGCTATGTATAATTTTCTAGGTGGGTGGGTGGGAGGGTGTGTTAATAAACTTATTGTCCATTTGATTTAATGTTACATTTCATTGATTTTGTATGTGCAATGTAGTGTTATTTATTTATTTGTAATTTATTTATTGTCTTGTTTCTTTTGTAATAAAAGTGCTACATGTATATACATGTGTTTTAATTGGACCCCTTTGAAAACAGCTGTGCTGACTGGGGTGTTCTGCCTGTATGTGGAAATAAATGAATACAAAAATTAATCATAAGAAAGAAGGATACAGGGTGAAAGCTAGCTGAGCTTCCACCTCCACCTCCACCTTCCACTTCCACCCAACCAATACAGACCAAATACATCGACCCAAGTCCTAATTCCATATGTTTCTGTATGCTCCACTACTTTTTGAGTTTCCTACTCTTTCAGTGATTTACCAAGGTCGCATTCACATTATGCCCAACAAAAAAAAAAGCAGGGGGTGAGGCGACACCGCGTGAGAGCAAGCAAACGCAAGAGAGACAGAAAAAAAGGTATGCAGCTACTTTCTTGTACCTACTGGTATTGAAAAAGTATCGGTTGCAGCATGCATTCGTGCTGCGTTACGACGTAATTTGTGTACTAATTTGTGCTTAGAAAGGATGGCAGCTCTGGGCATAATAGACAACCCTTAGCATCATCCAAGCTAGCAACACTAATCAAAAGTGTACCATTTAATGTATAATTTACTAAATCTATGTTGTTTTTCTTTCCAAATTCAAATTTCACTTCTTCTTGTACGTCAAGACTCAGTGGATCAACGGACCATTCCAGTCGGCTCAGTGGTCTGTCTACGGCAAAGCAGTGCGGGCTAACAACGACGTTGAAGGATGGCACCACCGAATAAACAGCTGCCTGGGTCAGCGCCTTGGAATCTACCGACTAGCTGCAGAGATGCACAAAGAGGCACGGTTTGTCGTCACCCTGCAGGTGCGACTTCGGACAGAGAGGCGTCTAGTCAGGGTGTAGAGGAAAGCCTACGGAACCAGTCAGGCTCGACTCTGTAAGTTGTGGGAGGAATATCCCGTGAAACGCTCAGCCGCTTCACTACTCCGAGGCTGTGCAGCGACAGATCATCAAGATACATCCAGGAGGGAATTCATGGAGTGGCAAACAAGATGAGACGAAGATTAACAAAGTACCTTTGAATAGTGCCTGATGTGGTGAAAGGCATGAAGAGGGTGGGGTCAGGTTAAATCATAGTGCCTTGACCTCCCCTCAGTTAATTGATGCTCCTACCACCATTACTGGCATTAGTAAAATGCCCCGATTATCGAAGCCAGGCCTTCTGTGCATGCAGCGTGGCATTTGCGAGGAGTTAGGCTTGACCATTCAGCAATCTATGCATGAGCGGATTTGGAAGGGGGTTCCCCAACCTCTAAGGATTCAAGCCTGGCTTTGGATCAGTCCAACAGGGGTTTACAGCTCCGTGAATGAAGAGGTTGTAAATAGCTTTATCAGACCAAAAAGCATCACCGTATCAGAAGCTAGAGGAAGCCTGAAGAATGACAGTCGAAGGCAACTTAATTGAGGTTTGTATTTTTTTGTTGTAATATTTTATGTCGAAGTGTGATGAGAGGTCTATACAAATGATATTTTGTCCCTTTTCTCTAACTTTGTATGTATTTTATCTGGTTTTATTATACAGAAATGAAAACAAAAACAACAACAGGCCTATTGAAGAGATTGCTGTTTCTGCAATCCGCAGCAGAAATGTCAAAGAAAAAATCTTTAACAAAGAAGTGGTAGTAATGCCTATGAACTATAATGATCAACACTGGCTTCTGTTGATAGCATATTGTCGCCTTCATCATATAAACACAGATACGATTCACTTGGAAGACAAGTCAATTCGTACAATGCGCTAATAGATTGTGCTGCAAAAATAATTTCAATGCATCTTTTAGCCATAGACCCTTCTCTTCCATGATTCCCAAGACTGGACCATCTTTTCTCCCTTACTACTCAGAACATTTCCCCAATAAATTGACACAATTAAAATCTGGGTTATTATTGCTGGATACGTTCTACTGATGAGATAGTTAGCCTGATTACGTCTTCCTGTAAGACAGAAGAAATTGAGGAATCCAAAAAAGCCATGTTTGATGTTTGTGGTGATTTTGGTACCCAGAGGAATATTATGCACGAAGGCCCTACAAAGGACATTAATAATGTTAACACAAATGATCTTGAATGTGGTGACAAGGGTCCGACTTCAACAACGTCAAACCATGACAAGATGCAATGTGCAATGTGCCGGGTCAGTGATTCCCCGAGAGAACCCTCAAGCAACAGTAAGTTTGCAGGGCCAGAAAGAAGTGTCAGGAGACCCACTATTAAGGAGACTAGTAGCGCCAAGTCCGAAATCTGTGGTGACCATAGGTCACCATAGGTGACCATAAGGCATTAGTAAAATGCCCCGATTATCGAAGCCAGGCCTTCTGTGCATGCAGCGTGGCATTTGCGAGGAGTTAGGCTTGACCATTCAGCAATCTATGCGTGTGCGGATTTGGAAGGGGGAGTATATAGAAATGGGGCATTTGCTGAAAGAGGGTTCCCCTACCTCTAAGGATTTAACCCTGGCTTTGGATCAGTCCAACAGGGGTTTTCAGCTCCGTGAATGAAGAAGTTGTAAATAGCTTTATCAGGCCTAAAAGCGTCACTGTGTCTGAAGCTAGAGGAAGCCCAGAGAAGCGAAGAATGACCGTTAAAGGCAACTTAATCGAGGTTTGTATTTTTGTTGTAACATTTTGTGTGGAAGTGTGATGAGAGGTCTATACAAATGATATTTTGTCCCTTTTCTCTGTATGATTACTTTGTATGTACTTTATCTGGTTTTATTATACAGAAATGAAAACAACAACAACAGGCCTATTGAAGAGATTGCTGTTTCTGCAATCCGCAGAAGAAATGTTAAAGAAAAAATCTTTAACAAAGAAGTGGTAGTAATGCCTATGAACTATAATGATCAACACTGGCTTCTGTTGATAGCATATTGTCGCCTTCATCATATAAACGTAGCTACGATTCACTTGGAAGACAAGTAAATTTGTACAATGCATTAATAGATCGTGCTACACAAATAATTTCAATGCAAGGACACTAACGACGTTATTTACCTGGGCACTCGACGGTTTTTTTCCGAAGATTCACCCTACATAAAGGAAAATGGCTTTAGTGAGGCCAGTGAGGAGAACAGACCTCCACCGAAAAAAACGGAAATGGCAGAAACACTTCAAGCTGCTGGAGGAAGCCGAGCTCTGCAGAAGGAAACAGGGAGAAGGGAAAGCAAAAGCTAGCTGAGCTTCCCTGTTATGACAAAGTAGCTGCTCCAATCGAGCCAATGCATACAATTCAGTTGACAGAAGAGGTTGGTGTCAACATCACTCCAGACGACATTTCTGCTTGCTATCGGGTGGGGAAGCCAAAAGTAGGAGGAAGGGGAGCTTGCCAAATGATAGTTAGGCTCATCTCTAGGAGAAAGAGAGATGAAATATATAATCGAAAGATGTCGTGACAATGACAACTTTGGATCTGTAGCGTAGTCTTGTCGTGGTTCACTAAGAAAAGAATGCAAGGACAAAAATTCCTACAAGGGAGTTTTTGTCAATGAAGATCCAATACCTCTCTCCGATATTCTGTGCTGAGAAGCGCAAAGAACTCCCCACTAGTTAATATCAACGCAGAAAAGCAGCTGGTTGTCAGAGGGGTTCTCTCCGGAGTACTGACGGAAATGACAGACAACGCAAATCCCTAGGAGCAACTGGTGCTAAAAGAATAACGAAAAGAGTCAAAATCAAATGTAAAGACAATTGAAAGTGAAGAAAAGTTCATCCCAATGAGAAGTGTTATCCTCACATTCAATAAATCAAACCTCCCCAGCAATGTAAACATGTGCTACCAAATGTTTGACATGGAACTATACCCCCCCCCCCCTCTATTGAGATGCTTTCAATGCCAATGCATTGGCCAAGGGATGGCTCAGAACAGGGCAAATACGAGATGTGTCAGATGTGGACAAGACCATAAATTTGCTGAATGTAAAAAAAAAAGATAGACCATCATGTATAAATAGTGGCGGAAACTACTCAGCAGCCTTTTTTTTTGGGGGGGGGGGGGGGGATGGTGCGCTGAATTTCCCCTTTGAATTAACGTTTAATGTAATTTTTTTCTTAGATCTCCTCGGGTTTGGCATCTTCATGCCAGAAGACAGGTTTTCACAAATTAAGACGTCCACTACGAATTCACTGTTCGT